CAGTTGCACAAATGCAGGCAAGAATTTCTCTCCTGAGGTTTGTGATGTGCAAATTATACTGACATACCATCTTATATCGATATACCATTGAAAGGCTCATAGTCTACTACAAAGTATTTCACATAAAAAATGCTGTATGCAGATGATGCTGCATAAACAAAACAAAACTGAGAGTGGGGGTAAAGTATAGGCATACATGAAAAACAGTAATATACCTACTTATGGTAGATGTAGCACTGTATTGCCTTACACAGAATTTCTACAATTTTACTTTTTCAATTACAGATAGATCAGCCAGGCATACTTTAATGATAAACAAACTGCTGAAAAGTCTTCTAAAACTAACAAATAACAACTAGGAAATATAATATCAGGAATTCTTTCCCAAGGCATAGTTCATAACAGCAGTTTTGTTCCCCAGTTCATGGGAAAAAGCAGTCCGTACTCAGAAAATATCAAAATCAGCCACCATCAATATGATACTGCGGGTGAGAAAATACTGCATCTTGGGGCCTACTGCGTCTCACGTGGCTCAGTAAAAGAGAGGGTAAAAGATCCTTAAGATAGGCATTTGAGGAAAGGAGGTACCTTTCCTGCTGCCACCTGTTTGTCTATGAGTCTCAAAGGAGGACACTGAGTATCCAGTACAGTCTTATACTGGCTGGTTTTATTGGAGCAGGTTTCCAGGAATCAAAAAGGAATTTTCCCAAAAAGACATAGCAGGGAGAGGCTTTTTTATTTGGTATGTCATCATTCTGAAAGTGCTTTCTGGTTTATTTTCTCAATATACTTGGCCAACTATAGCATCTCCTGTGGCTATAGATAAAGGAAATACTCGGCAGTAAATTCTAGATCTTTGGATGTCATGGGAGAAACAGAATAAATAGGAACTTAGCTTCATGGATCTCATTCTTTACAAATATGGTCCTTGTCTCAACAAAAGGAGTGATTTCTTTGACCACATGAATTTTGTAATACATATTACAATGGCTTATATAAATATGTTAGCTACTACTTACATGCTCTATGTCAGTGTTGCCCTTCTTCCTGTTGCCAGAATTTATAAATAAAGCAAAAAGACTAATTTAACAGACAGGGAATCCATGCGGCCACTAGTTCTATGTAATCTGTAGCTCAATAAGAATATTAACAATTAGAATCAAATGGAATAGGACTGCCTTCCTTTTCGTGCTCTGCTGTGTTCTCATAGACACACGAGGAAGTTGAACAGGTAGTCCCATGATCCAATGGACAAGATAAAGACTGCTTGCATGAAGAGTGGCTACAGAATTAAAAAAGAAAACAACTGAATTAATCAAAAAGAATCCTAAATCAGAATTTGTTTCTTGTATGGGCTTTTGGTATATATTCCACATTGGGGAAAAAAATGAAAATTAATCAAATTGCTTTTCATCCTCTTTCTCAGCGAAAAAGTATTACAGAATCACTAAAGTCTACAAAAACCATCAAAAATATTACTGCAGTAGTTGAATCTTAATACATCCCACCTCTTCCACCAAAATGGTTTGTATGAATGAGCCCAGATGTGCTTCCGGTTTGCTCATACCAGTCAGTCAAATTTCTTACACATACTTGAATGTTTTGCAGCAACTCTTCTGCAGAAGATTTAACTCCAAGCACAAAGCCAGAAATCAATCAGATGGCAAGCTGTCATGTTTCAAATTGCCATAGCCACTACTTAAATTAACATCTGCCTACAGTCTTAACTTTGTTGTTTTCTACTTGACCTACGTTCCACTATCTGCCAGAAAAAAAAAAAACAAAAAACAAAAAACTTGCTCTAAAAAATCATGGGAAATAGTTCATGCTGCTTTTGATAAACTTTGAATAAACAGTCCTCAGACAAGTCTGTTAAACCAAGATATATTTCTTCTTTAACCTTGCAACCACTGTGTAGTTCTGGGAACAGAATTAAAATCTTCAGTAGAATTTAAGAATATCATGGGCTCTCAGTTATTTTCTTTATCTTTAGGAAGACACATCTGTAAGATTAAGATATCTCTTCAGTCCAGGAGGAAATACAGATTCCTAAAAAGAAGACTAAAAGAGACAAAAAGCTAAAAGAAAATTATCTTTAACCAAACAAAAGATCTTGGTGGAAAATTCTCATTTGTGGTCATCAGCTGTTACTCAGTTAGAATCTTTCACAGCTGAAAAAGATTGGCTTTGGGGTTTTGCGATTGCTTAACTACTTCATAAAGTTTTAAGTATTTTCAGAAAACTCTAGGGATCTAGAAAAGCCCCATCTGGGAAGAAACTTTGTTTATAAAGAAACTGTAGTTCTCAATTTTGAGCTGGTCCAATATTTCTGCCACTAGTTAAGCTGCCTCAGCATCTTAACAGTTTAAGATTGCTCAGTGTACTTTCTAAGGGCAAAGACTTGTCAAAAACTCAGTTTTGAAAGTTTGCTTCGTTTATCCCAATGAGGATAAGAGGCATGAAGCACAAAAAAGGCTGTGGCATACTACTTTGAGTTCCTGAAGGAAGAAGAGAGATCTGACAAGTTGGTGGGAATGGCCATTCCTTGACAGAACAGGAAGAAACACCAGTCCTCAATTACAAGACTTCTCCAGGTAGTAGAAGCGTACAGCTATCTGATGGAGAAATGGGTCTTTCAGGATCCAGAGAGACTGCTGATAGCCTAGCAGCAGAACGTCAGACTAATAACAAAATCAGGAGGATAGCAGAGCATCTCAAGATTACAGAAATCTCATCCAAAGGAGGAAGTAAATATCCCAAAACGAAGGTATATAAAAGACCAGGGAATGAATGTCTCAGGACAAACGTGTTTGAAAAGCTCAGATACCTCACGTTACTATCTGAACTTTCTTTTCTTTGACATTCAGCATTACTATAAATTTCTGCCCTTCTTGAAGTTACTATGTTCTAACATTTTAGGCTTTCAATGCTGCACAACAGTCATAAATTATAACAACATTTGATATGTGTTTAAACATTTCAAGGCAAGTCATAAGATGTGGTCTACCACGGATAATTATTATTAATTTTACAGATTCAGAACAGTTTGTCCAGTCCAAAGTCCCACAGCAGATAGCAGAGTTTGTTGTAAACTGAACAAACAAGCATGTGGGGGGAACGTGGCTTCCCAAATCACAATGATTTAGGAATTCTATTATATTTCTAAAGCCCCTCAAAAGAGGCTGGTATAGCTTTCCTCAATTTGACAGCAGCAGCCATACAGGCTCTGTAAATACCTGATTTTAGAATGACTGATTCTAAAAAAAATTTAGGATCCTTAACAGGATTAAATGAAAAATTTGTAAATCTTACTCACAAATTGAAATCATACATTCCACCTGTTACAAACATTTCAGTTTTGATGCATTTTAAACAAAACCAAAGTGATGTCAATATCTGTTGGGGGGTGGGGGGTGTCTATCATCTCATTGCTGGGGAACTATCATGATCTGAAAGGGAGAGGTACACAGTTTTGCCACATAACTAAAAGCACCATGGCAGGTTCTGAGATGTTAATTTGGAATATGGGAAATGTAGATTCAAAACCCATTTCCCAAGAAAGTGCCCAGACCATTGTGCTATGCAGAAATCTGAAGGAATTGTTGTAGCAGGTTAGACAAGTAGGGTTTTTTTACCAAGCCTCCCTCCCTCCTCTACTATCAATATAAGCCTGTGGTCTCTATAAAAGCTAGTAACATTCCAGAGATCATGAACTTAGGCAGTATGTGTGTGACTAATGTCTGTTTAATGTTTAATCTGTATTATGAGTAATTTCAAATAGGGTTTAGGGAAATAAATTATTCAGGTTGGACTAACTAAACAAAAACTGGTGTAAAAATCCTTTACTCATTGCCTCTTGACTGAGCTATGAATACACAAAGACATGTCCAAGTAGCCTTGCTTTGAGGCACAAGAAAAATGACATAGGTCATTAAAACTGCGTAGGCACCATGTGAGAATGGCAAAGGTGGCTGTAGAATGCAAAAGAGGAAGTACATCACAATTGTCACCTAGAGCTGAAGTATTCCATCTGCTGTGATTAGACACAAAAAGTACACAATTAACTCTTGAAGCTGATACAAGGCACAATAAAAAGAAAAGCAGGAACTGAAAATCAGGAATATAGAAAAGAATAC